TTAACTGAGACATGACTGCAATGTAATGTAACTGTAACTAAAAGTACAACTTTAAATATCATTACAACTGTGTTGCTATAGCTGTAACTATAACTACAAGTATAACGTAAATTTAATGTAATTTTTCTTAAACCTTAGCTGTTACTGCTGCTTACATCTCTCCCTTTCTTTCTCTCTCCCCTCCCCCTCCCCCTCTCTCACTCACTCACTCTCTCTCTCTCACTGACTCTCATCTCTCTCACTCACTCACTCTCTCTCACTGACTTTCATCTCTCTCTCACTCACTCACTCGCTCTCTCTCTTTATAGCTTCGTAGTTTGTTCAGCAAGGCGTTCAACCACCGTAAGAAGAATAAGAATGGCTCGGTGTCGGATGCTGAGGATGGAGTGAGCATGACGAGTGATGGGTCGGCCCCCAACTCACCGATGTGTGTGCGCAACAACCGCAGTGGCTCGCTCAAGCTCACCCACTCATCGTCACTGTAAGTGCTAGAAACATACATCATAGTAGCTATATAACATCAGTGGCTCGCTGAAGCTCACCCACTCATCGTCACTGTAAGTGCCAGAAACATACATCATAGTAGCTATATAACATCAAGAGCATATAAAGAAGGAGAGCGTACAACGGTGAAATGCTGAAACCATGTTGCAGTATTAGTCGAATTAAGAAACTTTCCCCGTTTTATTTTGACGATTCTTTGCGGTATTATTGATCAGCTGTCCGACCTTGTTAATATAAAACAAACCACTTGTCCCTACAATGCTCCTACGCTGAGATAATGAGCGGTGAAAATCTGGTATTTTCGCGGAAAACCGACTCGAGATCAGTGTTTACTGCACCTCTCTCGCTTTGAGATAACTTCGGGAAACCTCGCGTGTTTCCGTCAATGATTGACAAATGGAATGAATGACGTCTGTTATTGATGGCCATAGTGATGACCCCCACCTGTGCCCACCTGACACTGGATGTAGTAAACTCTATAGTACCAGAGCATACTGATGTAATGAGTCAGCGCTACCATGACGCTACACAGCGGCGACCGGAAGCAATACACTGACAAAGGCAGTAAACACTGATCTCGAGTCGCTTTCGGCGAAAATACCAGATTTTCAACGCTCATTATCTCAGCGTAGTGGCATCGTAGGGACAAGTGGTTTGTTTTATATTAGCAAGGTAGGACAGCTGATTAATAATACCGCACAGAATCGTCAAAATAAAACGAGAAAAGTTTCTTAATTCGACTAATATGCAACATGGTTTCAGCATTTCACCGCTGTACGCTCTCCTTCTTTATATGCTCTTGATAACATCAGTAACTGGTATAGCATATATATGAGGGTGAGGATGGGGTGTGGGTAATTGTCAAACAACTGCAGTGGCTGCTCTCTCAAGTGACTGTTAGAGCCAGAAACGTACATCATAGCAGCTATATATACATACACACGCACGCACGCACGCACGCACGCACACACGCTCACACCATCAC